AAGTCAAGAAACAAGCAGCCGCCATGTTTTTTTATCAATGGGAATCATGATCACAAAAATTCATTTAGTTTGAAAGATTTTATCTCTCCCTGGCGGAAGTTTTTTCAAAACTTTGAATGGATTAATGAATTAATATTATTAATTATTTCAAAAATTATTTTTAATAGTTTATCTTGAATTAAAAAATTCAAAACACGTAAAAATCAATACTTAATATTTTGTTTTAATTTTTGACAGCTAAAACATAATTTTAGCGCTTGCCAAATAATTTATATAATTTTTTGAAAATTAGCATGTTATATAGCAAAGTATTACTGCAACACCCAATTGTAAATTTTTAAAATTTAAAGTACTGGAAAAAAAATGCGTGAATGGATAAAGTGAAATATTGTAGGTAAAACACGGATATTATAGATACTGCCTATTATTTATACAGTTTTCTAATTATTATTCTATCTTTCGGGTTTTATAGGAGAGGCGTAGCGAGGGGGGGGGGGGGCATATGTCCCCGGGTGCCGACCTTAGGGGGCGCCAAAGTGGGTTGGAAAAAATTGCGCGAGGGGGGGGGGGGGGTGGAAATCGAAAGTTTTAGGGCGGGGGGACAGGGGTGCAAATCGAAAGTTTGAGGGGGGTGCAAATCACCGGAAAGGGCGCGATTTGGCGCTACGGGCTAGACTGTGAGCAATATGCCTTTATGATTGTATTTAAATTGTGTTTATGTTATGAGTGTTGTGTTTGTTTTTTCGTTTTTTTTTCTTTGCGTTCGTTTGTGTTGTATTTAGTTTTGTTCTGTTCCCAACTTGGTACATTTAAAAAAGATTTACCGTGTGTTGTGGTTGTGGTTGTTTTGTGGTTGTGTTGTGGTTGTGTTGTGGTTGTTTTGTGGTTGTGTTGTGGGTGTTTTGTGGTTGTGTTGTGGTTGTGGTTGTGTTGTGGTTGTGTTGTGATTGTGTTGTGGTTGTAATGTGGTTGTGTTGTGGTTGTGGTTGTGTTTTGTTTGTGTTTGTGATGTGTTTTTGTTTGTTTTGTTCTGTTCCAAAGTTGGTATATTTTAAAAAGATTTACCGTGGCGGAGCACGGGATGCAGCTAGTATAATATAAGCGGGCTGAGCGTGTGTCAGTCCTTCCTTCCTTCCTTCCTTCTGTCATCGCTATAGCTTTTGGAACCATAAAAGTAAACATTCGCACCACGCAGTGCTTTTCAGTGCACCGCAGTGTCTTATTATATGTATTAGAGTAGGGTTTGTTTATATAGTGGCATAGAGCTATTTTATAATTTCCACTGTTTGTACAATTTTGCATAACGTAAAGAGAATATTAAATACACGCACATTGCTAAAACATATTAAAAGGATCAATGTCAAATATAGTTTTCGTTAATATTCCTAGAAAAAGTGGATACATTTTAATAACATAATAACTGTAGGTTAGAAAAATCTAATTAAACTGTTTAGTAATTTTGCCAAGGGAGGTATTTTAAAAATAAATTGAACTCACGCTAAAATGTGAATGCAAAATCTGCAAGACGGAATAATTGTTGGAATAATATAATTAGCAAAATGTGAATGCAAATTATGCAGACGTGTAACAGTACATTATTGTTGGAATATTATAATTAGCATTGATTGATAAAAGGCTATCTTTTATTTATTTTATTCACTGAATGTACTGTTTACTAATTATAATTTTTAATAAACTATTCTCCATTATTATATTAATTATCACGTTCATTAGGTGCGCAATGGTTTTAGTCATGAAACTTTATTGTAAATTTTAAAAAGTACTGAAAAAAATGCATGAATTTATAATGTGCAATATGGTCTGTAAAACACGGATATTCTAAATAATGCCTTTAATTTATTTTATACACTGAACGTATTATTTACTAATTATTATTCTATCTTTCGGTTTGCGGACAAGCTAGGGGTTTTATAGCAGAGGGGTTGCAAGGAGGGGGGGGCATATGTCCCCTGGCTCCGACCTTAGGGGGCGCCAAAATGGGTTGGAAAAACAAATTGAAAATTTGCGGAGGGGGGGGGGGGTGCAAAGCTAAAGTTTAAGGGAGTGGGGTGGAAATTGAAAGTTTGAGGGGAAGGGGTGCAAATCAAAAGTTTGAGAGGGGGGGGGGGGGGGGTAGCAAATCGAAAGTTTGTCCCCGGGCACCGGGAAGGGTCGCTACGCCTCATTAACTGTGTCCAGACGCGTCCGCCCGCGCTCGGAAAGGGCGCGATTTGGCGCTACGGGCTAGACTGTGAGCAAAATGCCTTTATGATTGCATTTAAGATGTGTTTACGTTATGAGTGTTGTGTTTTGTTTTTTCGTTTGTGTTTTTTTTTTGCGTTCGTTTGTGTTGTGTTTAGTTTTGTTCTATTCGCAAGTTGGTACATTTAAAAAAGATTTACCGTGGCGGAGCACGGGATGCAGCTAGTATATATATAACAAGGTTCGCTCTCAATTAAAAAAAAATTCCAGCTGGCCCCTTTCTAAATCTAGTCCAACACACCAAACTGAGGCTTTCATCAAAACGTTACTAACCGTGTGCCCTGTTTTCCAGAAGTTGAATTAAATGTTAACAATTTCGCCAAGGCATGCTGTAAATCCCTCGGCGACGGCCGAGGTGTCAGGGGAGTTACGGGGCTCTTGGAGTTACCGGTTACATTACTGCACGGGTGATGGGTGTGACACATTGTTTCTTCCGGCAGAGCTCCCCCCCCTCACCTGTCCCGAAAACAGTCTACCCTGGAAGAAACATTGGTGCGACACCTAATTAGATTTAGTCATCGAGTGTTGTAGCGAGACTTATTCCTAGTGTTGTGGGAACTTTTAAACGACTGTCTGTGGGGGCCAACTTGCTCATATGTGATGCGCTCAGGATGACACTGCCGCCGGTTGTATTCAAGTAGTAACCTCATCCGCTTATGCAGGATCACTGGGCGCTAAATCACATATTCCGTTAGGAGAACCCACTCAAATATGTACAAATGTTAGGCCTATGACAGAAACCTTTGCGGGGCTGTACTCAACAGCTTCCCAAGTTTTCATGGCGATTGGGTGAATGATGCAGTAATGCATAATAATAATAGAGAGAAAAATGTTTTTCACATGTACAACTGTATGTGGCCAGGTCACGCGTTGGATAACCTTCTGATTTAGGGGAGGGGGGATCCACAAATGACGTCACATACTAACAAAAAGCCAGACCCTTACACACCCCCACCTCAACGACTATTAATAATGTTCAATTAATTCTAAACGTTCTAATTAATTTCTAAATAATTATATAAAAAATAATCTTACCTGCCCTGTTTTGTGAATTAGATGTGCCTAATACTATGAAAGTAAATTAATATGTGTTGACTAGATCTAGTGCTGTCTAGTGTCTGACAAAATGTGCTGAAGTGGTGAATCGTACGGTTTGAAAGTAGTTCATAAACGATACATTTATCTCCTCGATACTTGTGAGGTTGAGAAAAAGGGATGGGATAGGGGTCGGCTCGGGAAAAAACTTGAAAGGGACAACAAAATGCCTTGATCTATGTACGTCAGCATCATCCATTGTAAAACTTACTCAGGGGAGATAATTTGAAGTATATGCCTTAAAAGTTTACTATATTTCTTGTAAAATCAAAAACAAGTAAAGGAAATAAAACTAAAGTTTCTAGTATTATATTATTTTTTTAAATTATTTGTACGATAGAAGATAGTACAGGATACAAATTCAACCACTATCACAAACACATATTAACATTGAAAAATGTACAATGGATTTCGGGTCCCCTACCAATGCCGCAAATAAGAACCGCGCATCATGAAAGTATTGAAAGCCCACTTCATATGTAGCGGCTTTTCGTGCTATGGACTTTTTTTTTTTTTTAAAAGAATTTTGCCGGCGACAGCGTGTGTTTGATTGTAGGGAAATAGAACTCGGCCTTGACGATGGTTAAAAAATACAACTATAAATAACTGTTTTAAATATGTAAAGAATTTGTCGACAATTTTTTAACCCCCTTTTTGGTCCCCATCCCCTGCCCCATCCGCCACAGTATACTTTGGAGGATCGGTGAAACAGTTACGTGTCCTCTATTTAGCTATCAAAGGGAGGGGGGGGGGCAACGAGTCAAAGAAGTCATTCAAAATTTGAAGAGTTGCCTATATTTTACACTGTAGTTTGTGTAATGGATTTTATCTTTTGCGGAAGAGCGTGATATAGTGACTGTAAAATAAAGATAATCGTACCGCAGCTACAGTGTTTTTCTTTTACAAACCAAATATTAAGGCAAAAATTAAATTCAAAATTAAAAAAAAAAATTTTTGGTCAGCCGTGGGCCCCTAAACGGCCTCCCCCCCCACCCCCCCCGCGCATTGCGGGGTCTGGCGGGACTGTAGTTCCGCCCCTGTTCATCAGGTAACTGAACAACTACTGACTAGTGTCTTTAACAAAATGTGCAGAAGTGGTCAGTTTACAGTTCATATCATAGACGGTTCGTTAATCTATGCATTACATCTTATTGTAAGAGTAAGGGTGTGGTGAGGGGTAGAAGTGAGGGGTAGGGGGGAGGTGGGGAGAGAGTTGGGAAGGGAAGGGGACAAGAAAGCGCCGATAAACATCTACATCAATAGTGTCGACTTTTTCCGATCGTCTAGAAGACCAGGATAGTCGCCTCGCCGCAACATTTCCCCAGCCCGATTTCAAAGCGTACCGGCACAGACAAATTTCAGATGCTTCGTCTTTGAAGTAGTCTATATGTCTGGCGGTCTCTCGAGCTATGGTCAGTGAATTTTTCTCAAAGACGTTTGCCGACTATCGTGTTTGTTTGTAACTGTAGAAGAAAGATAACTCGACCTCCACCTAATTTTTTTTTAAATTTTTTTTAAAAATAATTTAGCCAGGATTTTTGGGCCCCCAATTGGTCTGCCCCCCCCCCTCCCGGGTCGCGGGGTCTGGCGGCACTGTAGTTCCGCCCCTGTTTCTACATTCTTACCTGCATATAAATACTTACATATTTTACGAAGTTGACGAGCTAGATGTACGACTTCAAAGGACACATTTGAATTTCTAGTCTCAAAAACAATCTTCGCTAAATTTTCAAACGAAGAAACTTTCCTATTTTCAACAGCGGTAAAAAAAACATCATATATTTTAATCAATAGTTTTCGCTGAGACCCAGATGAATCATTTACAAGTCTGGAATTTTCGTCCACATGAAGGAATTCTTGCCATTGTTCCTTTTTAATAAAGATCTCTGCAATTACGTCATATCCTTTACTACATGCAATCATTAAAGCGTTGGTTCCAAAACAGTTAATACAATTTATATCACACCCGCTGTTTATTAATAATTCTACAATTTCTACATTTCCGAATTCCGTTGCTTTCATTAAAGCGCTATATCCTTTATCGTTGCAGTAGTTTGAATCAACCCCAATTTGTAACAGAAATCCTACATTGTTTAAATGCCCTTTTCTAGATGCGTACATTAAAGGAGTCTCACCGTTAATGTCTGTATGACTAAAATTATTAATATATTTTTTTAGTAGTTCTATCATTTCGAAATTACTTTTTTTACGAGCAGTCGTTTTTGCCTCACATATCTGTGCAATTATTTGCTGGGTAATATATGCGCCATTTTCTAGTAATAACTCGACTATTTGTGTAAACCCACTTTTGATTGCTATAGTTAATGGGCAAAATCCGTGTGTATTAGAATGATTCACATCAACTCCAGCTTTTATAAGATAGTCTATAATTTCAAAGTGATTATTTCTAATGGCACACATTAAAATATTACTGTCATCAATATCAGTATTGCCCAAATGAGCAACATATTCTTCTCGTAATTCAATTATTTCATAATCACCCGTTTTATAGGCAGCCAATACTGCGCCCAACCCTCTCGATTTTACATCTACATTATTCTTAAGTAGCAAATCTAAGATGTTAATATGTCCTTTTTTGAAGGCTATTAGTATAGCACTATCACCTTTTTTATTTAAATGATTTAAGTCGCATCCGATTTGTATTAGCAATTCAACAATACGAATATGTCCACTTTCACATGCGTTCATTAAAGCATTGTTACCTTCAATGTCAACAAAAGTTAAACGAGCGCCATATTTAATAAGCAATTCAATGATTTTATCATGACCTTTTTCACAAGCAATCATTACAGCATAACCGCCTCTCTTGTTTATGATATCAATGTCAGCTCCATGTTTTAATAAGAGTTCTAGAATTCTGTCTTGTCCATTTTCACATGCACATAATAAAGGGCTCCAACAATCTGCTGCAATACAATTCACATCTATGTTGTACTGAAGCAGTAACATCAAAATGTCGACATTATATTTTTTGCAGGCTATGAGAAAAGCATTATCTCCTTTATCATTTGCATAATTTAAATTTATTCCATATTTTAGTAGTAGCAACACAATTTGAACATGTCCGAATTGGGTTGCAAGAATTAATGCATTGTTACCTTCATTATCAACACATGTTAAGTATGCGCCATTTTCTATTAATAGCACAACTATTTCGGTAGACCCTTTTTCTATTGCTAATAATAATGGGGAATATTCGAGGCCATTGTTGTCATTTATATTTACTCCAGCTTTTATAAGATAGTCAATAATTTCAAAGTGATCATTTCTAATGGCACACATTAAAATATTACTGTCATCAATATCAGTATTGCCCAAATGAGCAACATATTCTTCTCGTAAATCCATTATTTCATAATCACCTGTTTTATAGGCAGCCAATACTGCACCCAACCCTCTCGATTTTACATCTACATTATTCTTAAGTAGCAAATCTAAGATGTTAATATGTCCTTTTTTGAACGCTATTAGCATAGCACTATCACCTTTTTTATTCAAATGATTTAAGTCGCATCCGCTTTGTATTAGCAATTCAACAATACGAATATGTCCACTTTTACATGCGTTCATTAAAGCATTGTTACCTTCAATGTCAACAAAATTTAAAGAAGCGCCGTATTTAATAAGTAATTCAATGATTTTATCATGACCTTTTTCACAAGCAATCATTACAGCATAACCGCCTCTCTTGTTTATGATATCAATGTCAGCTCCATGTTTTAATAAGAGTTCTAGAATTCTGTCTTGTCCATTTTCACATGCACATAATAAAGGGCTCCAACAATCTGCTGCAATACAATTCACATCTATGTTGTACTGAAGCAGTAACATCAAAATGTCGACATTACATTTTTTGCAGGCTATGAGAAAAGCATTATCTCCTTTATCATTTGCATAATTTAAATTTATTCCATATTTTAGTAGTAGCAACACAATTTGAACATGTCCGAATTGGGTTGCAAGAATTAATGCATTGTTACCTTCATTATCAACACATGTTAAGTATGCGCCATTTTCTATTAATAGCACAACTATTTCGGTAAACCCTTTTTCTATTGCTAATAATAATGCGGAATATTCGAGGCCATTGCTGTCATTTATATTTACTCCAGCTTTTATAAGATAGTCAATAATTTCAAAGTGATCATTTCTAATGGCACACATTAAAATATTACTGTCATCAATATCAGTATTGCCCAAATGAGCAACATATTCTTCTCGTAAATCCATTATTTCATAATCACCTGTTTTATAGGCAGCCAATACTGCACCCAACCCTCTCGATTTTACATCTACATTATTCTTAAGTAGCAAATCTAAGATGTTAATATGTCCTTTTTTGAACGCTATTAGCATAGCACTATCACCTTTTTTATTCAAATGATTTAAGTCGCATCCGCTTTGTATTAGCAATTCAACAATACGAATATGTCCACTTTTACATGCGTTCATTAAAGCATTGTTACCTTCAATGTCAACAAAATTTAAAGAAGCGCCGTATTTAATAAGTAATTCAATGATTTTATCATGACCTTTTTCACAAGCAATCATTACAGCATAACCGCCTCTCTTGTTTATGATATCAATGTCAGCTCCATGTTTTAATAAGAGTTCTAGAATTCTGTCTTGTCCATTTTCACATGCACATAATAAAGGGCTCCAACAATCTGCTGCAATACAATTCACATCTATGTTGTACTGAAGCAGTAACATCAAAATGTCGACATTACATTTTTTGCAGGCTATGAGAAAAGCATTATCTCCTTTATCATTTGCATAATTTAAATTTATTCCATATTTTAGTAGTAGCAACACAATTTGAACATGTCCGAATTGGGTTGCAAGAATTAATGCATTGTTACCTTCATTATCAACACATGTTAAGTATGCGCCATTTTCTATTAATAGCACAACTATTTCGGTAGACCCTTTTTCTATTGCTAATAATAATGGGGAATATTCGAGGCCATTGCTGTCATTTATATTTACTCCAGCTTTTATAAGATAGTCAATAATTTCAAAGTGATCATTTCTAATGGCACACATTAAAATATTACTGTCATCAATATCAGTATTGCCCAAATGAGCAACATATTCTTCTCGTAAATCCATTATTTCATAATCACCTGTTTTATAGGCAGCCAATACTGCACCCAACCCTCTCGATTTTACATCTACATTATTCTTAAGTAGCAAATCTAAGATGTTAATATGTCCTTTTTTGAACGCTATTAGCATAGCACTATCACCTTTTTTATTCAAATGATTTAAGTCGCATCCGCTTTGTATTAGCAATTCAACAATACGAATATGTCCACTTTTACATGCGTTCATTAAAGCATTGTTACCTTCAATGTCAACAAAATTTAAAGAAGCGCCGTATTTAATAAGTAATTCAATGATTTTATCATGACCTTTTTCACAAGCAATCATTACAGCATAACCGCCTCTCTTGTTTAAGATATCAATGTCAGCTCCATGTTTTAATAAGAGTTCTAGAATTCTGTCTTGTCCATTTTCACATGCACATAATAAAGGGCTCCAACAATCTGCTGCAATACAATTCACATCTATGTTGTACTGAAGCAGTAACATCAAAATGTCGACATTACATTTTTTGCAGGCTATGAGAAAAGCATTATCTCCTTTATCATTTGCATAATTTAAATTTATTCCATATTTTAGTAGTAGCAACACAATTTGAACATGTCCGAATTGGGTTGCAAGAATTAATGCATTGTTACCTTCACTATCAACACATGTTAAGCATGCGCCATTTTCTATTAATAGCTCAACTATTTCGGTAAACCCTTTTTCTATTGCTAATAATAATGGGGAATATTCGAGGTCATTGCTGTCATTTATATTTACTCCAGCTTTTATTAAATAGTCAACAATTTCAATGTTTCCAGCTTTAGCCGCATACACTAGAGCAGTATTGTCTTTATTGTCTATGCAGCCTAAATCCACACCATATTTGGTTAATAATTCAATTATTGTATAATGACGTTTACTACAAACAATCAATACTGAATTATTTCCTTCCTTTTTAAATTGATCCAAACGAACTCCATGTGTTAATAATAGCTTTAGAATCTTGTCCCTGCCATATACACACGCCGCAAATAAAGGGCTCCAACCGTTGTTTGTAATACCGTTTATATCTATGTCAAATGGAAGCAGTAACTCTGCAATTTCGACATATCCCTTTTTACAGGCAATCAACAAAGCCATGTAACCTACACTACAGCTAAGATGCTGTTCTTTCTTCTCAACATATCTACCCCCATCTGTTGTTAGCAAACTGTGAGGTACATCCTCTGTCACACTGTACAAATCGAGATCATATAATGTTAGTAACTTGACAACATTGTAGTGACCTTTATTGCATGCAAACATTAAAGATGACCATTTGTTGTTGTTAAACCTGTTTACATCAGCTCCATGTTGTATAAGTAAATATACAATTTTTTCATGCCCGAATTCACAAGCAATCATTAATGAATCCATTCCATGTGTATCAACTTGATTTAAATCAGCACCGTTTTTTAAAAGTAATTCTACAATTGTATCATGTCCTTTCCCACACGCAATCATTAACGCATTCCAATTGTCTGATTGCAATCTTTTAACATCCGCACTACCACGCAAGAGTAGTTCTACTATTTTATCTTTCCCACTTTCAGACGCTATCATCAATGCATCTATTCCATTTGTGTCTGTTTGATGTAAGCTTACGCCTTTTGTCATCAGAAGCTCTACAATGTTACAATAGCCGTTTAAAGCTGCAATCATTAATGCGTTCCATCCATATGTAGTAACACGAGTATAATTTGCACCGTTCTCTAAAAGTAATTCTAAAACAGCATAATGTCCTTTCTGTGATGCAAGCATAACAACATCGAGCTCGTCTTTATTTACAATTGTTAAGTCTGCGCCATTTTGTATCAACAGCTTGGCAGTTTTATCATCGCCCTTATTACACGCAATCATTAGAGAATCCCATCCTGTTTTATCTGGTTGCTTTACATAATCATCTTGTGTGAGTAACCTTTCTACTACTTTATAGTACTCATGTAACGATTCTGCCAACAGGTCTTCCATTTTCTAGTGTCGGGTTAAAAATGATTTTTTTTGTACAAACAAAAAACGATATCTTTCAGTTAGGATTTCTTTCATTTGACGATTCGTTACAGTTCAGACCTTCATTAAAAAAAGCAAAAAAAAGGTGTTAGTTTCATTTAAGAATAACTACTTTAAATAGTTCGTTTTTTAATTTACAAGAAAAGATAAGTGTTCCAAGTGGAATATTATTCTGTGGTTAGAAAAGAAGGATGCAAACAGAATGGTGTGTTTTTACTTTATCTAATTAAAAAGGGTCTTTAAGTTATGCTTGACAAAAGTTATTGTGTTTTTAATAGAGGCAAGTGTCTGTTTTAATCGAATTTCTTATTTCAGTAAAATCTAGTTTAGCCCATTACCTCAACTGTACTTGCATGGGAACACTAGTTTAAGGCGTGATATCATATTTTCTATAATGATTATCCTGGATGTAATTACCTATTTCAACAATTGATTGCACTAGTTGTCTACACAAAATTCAATACGGCGACAGTGCAATAATAACTGTCATTATTGTTAGTTTGTTTTTCCGCCTCGCAAGCGGCTACATGGGCTACATGAGATCATAATCTTACAATCGTAGCTTAGCAATTGCCAGCTATCTGCTAATTCACTTTGAAGTAGAAAGTAGCATCATGGTTGTACTGCAGTGCACACATATTTGTCGCATTGAATTCTTGAGAGGTCTGACTGGTCTTTTGAGAGCGGCTGGTCTCTTGAATGGTAAGACTGGTCTTTTTGAGGGAGGCTGGTGTCTATTGTCTGTTATGTGAGGCTGGTACGATACAACTGGTCTGTTTAAAAAGGCTGGTGTCTTGTATGGTAAAACTGGTTTGTTGAGAGAGGCGTGTCTATTGTATGATAAGACTAATCTTTACAGAGAGGCTGGTCTCGTGTATGGTAAGAATGGTCTGTTGAGAGAGTCTGGTGTCTCGGAGGGTAAGATTGGTCAGTTGAGTGAGTTTAGTATTTTGTATATTACGACTGGTCTGCTGAGAGAGACTGGTCTCTTGTTTGGTAAGAGTGGTCTGTTAAGAGAGGCTGGTCTGTTGAGAGTTGCTTGTGTCTTAGCGGGTTAGAATAGTTTTTTTGATATATTCTGGTTTCCTGTATGGTAAGATTGGTCATTTAAGAGAGTGTGGTCTTTTGTATGTTACAACTGGTCTGTTGTGAAAGGCTGGTCATTTGAGAGAGGCTAGTTTTTTAAGAGATGCTAATCTTTTGAGAGGGGCTAATTTTTTTGAGAGATGTATGTTGAGAGAGGCTGATTTGTTAAGAGAGGCTGGTCTATTGAGAGAGGCTGGTCTATTGAGAGAGGCTGGTCTGTTGAGAGAATCTGGTCTGTTGAGAGAGGCTGGTCTGTTGAGAGATGCTAACTTGTTGCGAGAGGCTGGTATGTCAAGAGAGGCTGGTCTTTTGAGAGAGGCTGGTCTTTTGAGAGAGGCTTATATGTTGAGAGGCTGGTATGTCAAGAGAGGCTGGTCTGTTGACAGAGGCTGGTCTGTTGAGAGAGGCTGGTCTTTTGAGAGAGGCTTATATGTTGAGAGAGGCTGGTCTGTTGAGAGAGGCTGGTCTGTTGAGAGAGGCTGGTCTGTTGAGAGAAGCTGGTATGTTGAGAAAGGGTGGTCTGTCGAGAGAGGCTGGTATGTTGAGAGAGGCTGATATGTTGAGAAGCTGGTATGTCAAGAGAGGCTGGTCTGTTGAGAGAGGCTGGTCTGTTGAGAGAGGCTGGTCTTTTGAGAGAGGCTTATATGTTGAGAGAGGCCGGTCTGTTGAGAGAGGCTGGTCTGTTGAGAGAAGCTGGTATGTTGAGAGAAGCTGGTATGTTGAGAAAGGGTGGTCTGTCAATAGAGGCTGGTCTGTTGAGAGAGGCTGGTCTGTTAAGAGAGGCTGGTCTGTTGAGAGAGGCTGGTCTGTTAAGAGAGGCTGGTCTGTTGAATCTGGTGTGTTGAGAGAGGTTTATCTGTTGAAACATTATTCATTAAAGCATTTACTAAAGACAACTAACCATGTCGTTGACATGTACGCCAAACATTTTGTAACCTACCATAAAAAACATTTCTTAACGCTTAGATAAACCCTCAATCTAGTAGTGAATTAAGAATAATTAAATTTATTGCAAAAATTTGAGGAAATATAATTCGAATAATATTGTTTTGATTGATATTTAGACTCTAGAATGAAGATCTAGTTTCAAAGCATTGTGTTAGCCTAAAAAAATTGTAAACAAATCAGTTTGGTTATTGAAAATCTGGATATAGGCTATATTAAACACATACTTTTTGATTTATTATTCTTAAAATGATAAAATGTAATAGAATAGCTGAACATAATTAATCAAATATCCTTTATAATTACTGTGACTGCTGTGCTGTAAAATTGTGTGATTGCGGCCTGCGACTGTGTTTCCGAACAAAAGTGTACTGACAAATACAGCGATATTCGTTTTGCGCCGAGATTTTTAGTGCTTAAAATAATAGGCGGTTTGTTCAAATAATTATATCTCGAACATCATTCTACAGATTTCTATAATATTTTCAGGCATTATTGGGAATTATACTGGCTTTTGATTTATGTAAAAAAAAATCGAATTTTTTTTGAGATAGACGGTTTGCGACCGAGACCATCGATATATACGCTCTGTATGTCTTTGCTTCGCTATGATGTACAATAAAATGAAGGTAGTACTCTGAAGAAATTAAAAAAGCACACACTGTAGGCCGACAAAACAAAGCAATTTATCACTCTAAAAAATAAATAAATAAATATATAAATATAAATATATATATATATATATATATATATATATATATATATATATATATATATATATATATATATATATATATATATATATATATATATATATATATATAAACACAATCCAACGAAAAATAATGAACGCAACACAATATGTTTTGTAATCCTTGTAAAAATATTGACATAATGATTCCTGGATTATTATTTAAGACAAGTGAACTAGGGAAATAATCACTCTCTTAATATAGAAATGTATATATCTACACATTTAATTGTAAATGTGAAAACAGTTCAATAATTACTTTAGCATGTAATATATAAGCTTATTACTATTCGTTTTTACAAAAATATAGACAATCAGAATTATATATATATATATATATATATATATATATATATATATATATATATATATATATATATATATATATATATATATATATATATATTTATTTATTTATCTATTTATTTATATATATATACTAGCGTACCCGTAAGTCTGACGTAATATGTAAGAAGGGTTTCATCAATACGTTACCAAACCAATGTTCTAAGACGCTTGGCCTTGTTTTCTAAAACTGAGTTAATTACATGTAAACAACCCCTGCGCTTGGATCATAATTATCGGGACACGAGTTTACCTACACTCCCGCGTGAAAACCTAGAGTGTTCGTTAATCAATCAGCGAAATAATGAGGTAGAACACACTTCGGTGACCACCCATGTGTCATGGACGTAGAGCGGCGCTCTCGGGAGCCTCCAGGTACACTACCGCAGAGGTGCAGCATACGGCCTTTGGCTACTTAAAACTAACATAGGCTCCTTAGTGCTCATAGGTAACCCAGAATTCCAAATAGCATCCCGTTAACAATGATGCAGATTGTGTTATTCGCTAAAGTGACACAAACGAACAGTATGTTTTCTTTAACACGTAAAAAAATTATTTGACGTGTTTTAAACATCAATGTGACTGATGCAATATGTTAGCGTTAATAATGGTTTATTATTATATGCTCGATCTCAATTTCTGATCGGATTGTCTAAAAGTAGATGCTAATTGCATCATTCGCAAAGTGACAAAACTGTTTGGATTTATTTACGGACAAAAAGAAATATCCCAGTTATGATCTAACCTTGGTTAATTTTTCTGATTATTAAAATAAAACGTATTACATGGCCCTCAGAGGAAAATGTAAGCCTTTGGGGGCCGAAACTGACAAATTGTTTTCCCAGCCAAATCGCACCCTACCAGGGCGTCGGCGGACACGCCTGATTCAATTTAGTGAGCGCTTGTAACGTTTATCTTATCCTATGTCTATCAAACTGTTTAGACCGAACGTAGTCATCATTGCCTTAACGCAAAAACCAGGGCACCAAATCGCATCATGCCGGGGGGCCGCCCATGCAAGATTAAATCCCCCCTCCCCCACCACCCACCAACCTCCTCCCACCACAGAAACCTTCTTGGGAGTATTCATCTACTCCCTAAAGTTGTATGGCAGTCAGATAAACGGTGTTGAACCGCAATCGACTTTTATTTTCATTTACCGTATATAGAGAAATAGTTATTGGTCAAAACGCAATGTGCTTTACTACACGCTGAACAAAATTAGTGACAAAGAAAAGAAATAACTAATTAGCTAAAAATCCGACACATTTAACATAACACAGGCACACTCTAATTAAGTGACTTAAATGATTTCGTTAAAAACTCGACTATTCAATAGTCATTACTTTGTTTTTATGTAATTTGTACTAGTTTGACCGATAAAATTGTATATATTTCATAGCGTACGTCTTGATGAGTAGATCTATTGATCTAGATCTAAATCAAAGTTGAATGAAGTAGTTCCTTTCTTTATAATCTAAAATTGGAAGATTCACATATAACAAAAAAATTAAAAAATAAGTTTGACTAGGTGTGTCTCGAGCGCGCACCACCTGTGTGGTATTAAGTAAACTATCACCCCACTATTTATGCACCTTATAATTCACAGAGAATGAAAGACGTAACCAAAAAAAACTTAACTTACGTGAATATGCCTATTCTTTCAAATTAATTTTTGTAACCCAAATAAGCCAGTTCCATAGCTAAACAAACAAAGATTTTTTTATATAACAATTAATGCCTGAAATAGTTTAAAAGATAATTTCATTTTTGGAATAGATTCTAGAGTAGATAGAGTCTAAATCTAGAATCTAGATATTAGCGACTTAGTGTC